AAAATAAGTAGCAACTGCGTAGTTTAAACAATCATAGAATTTGTTGAGTATGTGTGTGTTTTAAACGTCACTTGTCAATGTGCAATGTGACATCGAGCGGTAGCGACATCGGTACAGCTCCTCCGCCAGCAGCCATCAGGTTTCAGCATTATGAGCCACTACTTCTGGCAATCCACCCGCTATTTGGTGCCGTTTCCAGTTCGCCAGCAGTTCCGGCAAATACGAGCTCCGTCTCTAACGGATCTTCAACGGCAACAATCTCCGTTCGGCGGTATCAACATATTTGCTTCCCCCAGCTCACGCAACAACCAATCCATCGTCACTTGAGGCTTCTCACCGTTCTATTTAGCCCTTTGGAACACCCGGTCGGTTGATAGACTACGGCCACGCAAGCCGCTGTTGGCATCGTCTAAAGTCACCATCGTCCCCCGCCATCCGTAATCCTATCATCCTCGTCGTGGTCTTCCATTTCCTATGCAGATGTTAGGGCATGCATTACGATTTCTCCGCTTTTGCCAATGTTGTCCAACCATATTTTACAACATCAAAGTGACAAATCATATTTGAGCCATGGTAGATACTAGATGGTTATAACAAACCTTTACAGTGACAACTTGATTCAGTTGGTTGCAAAACGAAGTTTGAAAACTTACAGATTCATACGCTTAATTGGAACAAGATTGCAAATAGGTTTTTTAACACATCTTGGTTCGTCAACTTTTTAGTAACATTTCGAAACAGTTACTCAATAGGTGCAAAAAACATATAGTTCACACTCTGTTGCACCAAAGTTTTAAGAAACATAATGTTTTATGGAACTCTCATTCAACAAACACAACACAAGTTAGATTTGTTGCTCAAGTGTTTTATACAATATCACGTAGCATATAACTTCATACCAATTTGAGTGTAACATGTTTACTCCTCCCAATTGAGGCATGATTTGACAGTTTATCCAAGCAGTACATTGAAACAGTTGAGTTTCATTATTGTGACCTAAAGTAAATGAAGCAACAAAGTTGAAACTTTGTCGTATCAAGATGTATTTCCTGTACCATTAAAGGGATTTCAGGACAACTTAAATAAAAAAATTAAAGAATTGAGATGTTTTTGGTGTTGCTTGGGTGGTGAAGCACTGGCTAGAGCGCTGCACTGGGTAATTGCCAAGATTTGGGAGGAGGAGATATTACCGGAGGAGTGGATTTTTTTTTTCATATCTTTATTAAGGAGACTTTCAGCCGTTGGCTGGCTCGTCTCCGAATACCTCAGAGGGGGGTATTCCTAGAGGAGGAGTGGATGGAAGGTGTCGTATGCCCAATCTACAAAAAGGGCGACAAATTGGATAGCTGCAACTACCGCGCGATCACACTGCTGAGCGCCGCCTACAAGGTACTCTCCCAAATTCTATGCCGCCGTCTGTCACCATATGCAAGAGAGTTCGTGGGGCAATACCAGGCGGGATTCATGGGTGCCCGCGCTACCACGGACCAAATTTACGCGATTGGGCAGGTTCTGCAGAAATGCCGCGAACGTGCCCACACATCATTTGTTTATCGATTTCAAATCCGCATACGACACAATCGATCGAGATCAGCTATGGCAGATTATGCAGGAGTACGGATTTCCGGACAAACTGTGTGATGTGCGTTGTTCGAGTATCGGGGACACTCTCGAGTCCCTTTGAATCTCGAAGGGGGTAACGGCAGGGTGATGGACTTTCGTGTCTGCTGTTCAACATCGCGTTAGAAGGTGTGATCAGAAGAGCTGGGTTAGACACGAGTGGCACGATATTCAGGAAGTCCATCCAGCTCCTTGGTTTCGCCGATGACATTGACATTATGGCACGGAACTTTGAGATGATGGCGGAAACGTACATCAGACTGAAGGCTGAAGCTAGACGGATTGGACTTGCCATCAACGCATCAAAGACAAAATACATGAAAGCAAGAGGTTCTAGGGAAGACAATGTTAGCCTCCCACCCCGAGTTCAGATTGACGGTGACGAAATCGAGGTGGTCGATGAGTTCGTGTATTTGGGCTCACTGGTGACCGCCCAAAATGATACCAGCAGAGAAATTCAAAGACGCATTATGGCAGGGAATCGTGCTTACTTTGGACTCCGGAGGACGCTCCGGTCGAATAAAATTCGCCGCCGCACGAAGTTGACTGTCTACAAGACGCTGATTAGACCGGTGGTCCTTTACGGCCACGACACCTGGACTATGCTCGTGGAGGACCAACGCGCCCTTGGTGTTTTCGAACGAAAGGTGTTGCGTACCATCTACGGTGGAGTGCAGATGGATGACGGAACGTTGGGTAGGCGAATGAACCACGAATTGCTCCAACTGCTCGGAGAACCATCCATCGCCCACATTGCAAAAATTGGGCGACTACGGTGGGCTGGGCACGTCGTAAGATTGTCGCATGACGACCCAGTGAAAATGGTTCTAGAAAGTGACCCAACAGGAACAAGAAGAAGAGGCGCACAACGGGCAAGGTGGATCGACCAAGTAGAAGGCGACCTGCGGACCCTTCGCAGACTACGAGGCTGGCGAAGTTTGGCCATGGTTCGAGTAGAGTGGAGACGACTTCTTCGGACAGCAGAGGATAACAAGGCCTAAGCCTGATGGGTAAGGTAAACTAAATCGTTTTGCTATGGAATGGCTATATTCACATTTAGAAAAGAAATGTATTTTTTATGAGTTTTCTTTAAAAATCTCATAGTCGCTAGGAGCTAAACGGAGCCAAGGGACTAACATTTTTTTTAATTTACGTTTAGGGGGATTGAGTTTTTAACTTTTCTTCTCCTGTTTCTTGCTTCTTCTCCATCGCTTCATACTCGTATAGCTAATTCCAATGCTGCTTCCGTTGCTGGCACCAGGTCGGTTGTGGTTCGGTGTCGATTTCGGTCACCGGGGTCGCCACGTCCATTTTCATCATCTCTTCAATGTGTCAATATGAAACTTACTCTGAAAGTTTCGATTTCACGGAAGATCATTTTGTTTTACTAGAATTAAAAAATAATTAAATTTGCATTAGAATTTAAAGAACCATCACTTAGCGGTGCCGGTGGTGTTATTACCTCTCACCCAGCAGGCCTGGGTTCAATCCCAGTCGGCGTCGCCGAGTTGTTCTGAGGCATAACATCTCTGATTTGGAAGGGAAGTAAAGCCGTTGGTCTTCGGTTCATGAGTTTGATGGGTCAATAGGTATGGTCCAGGTGTGGGAGCTGCCTCCTTGGCGTCAGTAGCATTGGTGCTCAGCATGGAAAACAAGATCGACGGAAAACAAATCAAGGAAAAAAAAGAACCATCACTTAATTATGACAAACACAAACACTTCAAATGTTGGGTAATATGTTGAAAACCAATTGGCGATATTTAACCATTTCCTTTCAGATTTTAATGGTGTATATTATGAGTAAGATAAAATATAAGTAGATTTCAAATTGGAAGGCGTCATTGGGACGTTACTAATGGATATTTTTGGTTGCTATTTAAAATTTAGTCGATTGCTGAATTTATGTATGGTCCCAAATAAGGGGCATTTAGGCCGACATTACATCCATTTCCCCTTTAACGAAAATTAGCGATTTCGACGAAGTAGCGCTCTACCCTATCTAATTTCGTTTACGGAATCCAACTTTTCTTTATGCATTTTATTCTAACGTCAACAAATGTGATGTCACGTTTGAGCTTAGTACCCATCCCGCATGTATCACAAATTATCACGTTCCTTCAACCCTCCATCTATAAATGCGTGACGTAATTTATGACTGGCCCCCAATCTGCACGTTTGATTGCACATTTCGTTCAGGTGCGGCAACAAAGCAGTTCCATCCATCAACTGGCTTTGGAGTTTGAACAACTTTGGGCTGGTTAAGTGCTTTCAATTCACCCCCTGGGGCACAGACTGTTGCAATATGTACAGAACGAATACATGTTTACCAGCAAAACAATACGGCTAGTATTGCTGCTGTTGGTAATTCCACTTGCCGCTCATATCGTTTTGAGAGTGATGAATTATGATGGTGACGTGGATTTGTGTGTGTCGTTATTACTTATCAGCTTTAAGAAGCTGGTTTACACCATCACACTCTTCGTTGTTAGTGCTAATTCGGTTGATAGTGAACTCATCCACAGCGTGATGATTGCGTTATCAGCTGCAGTCTGAAAAAAAAGTCGCGTTAATTGTCCTAGATAGCAAAAATATTGAATCAATTTCAATCATTCGGTGTAACCAACCACGAAAGAGAGAGCCCACAGAGGTGATTAAAATTATCAATTTTGCTTTTTACCGCATAATCGATTCAATGAACCGTCCTGATCAGAGGCGCTATATTTTCATTATTTTTCAGATCAGGGACATCTATATTTTCATTATTTTTGTAGGAAAAGTTTAAGTTTATAGTACATTTAAAATTTTAACCACATTATCTTCTTGGGTGTCGCCCCCCTAAAAATTACACCCCGGAGGATCACTCCCACCAGGCAGCGCCATTGATCCTGTTCATCCTTATTTTTTGTGATTTTTTACACTGAGCAAAAATTGACTCAATATTTGAGTTTAGACCTCTGCCACAGAGCTTTTACTTATTGATCTCGTCAGAGAACGATTTTCACTATTTTTAAGTTTCTGGCCTATTTCGGTCCCACTGCCGTCAGTTCCCAGTCACTTGCTTTCAGATCTGTTTGGCAATCAATTAGCAACCCAGCACATAACAGAAGTGGAACTTCCGATCAAAAAGTGGCGCCACTTTTCATTGGCGAAGACTAGCGCACCTAGCGGTAGAAGGCATCTTCTGCCTGCAGTTAAGATAGTCAGCATGCTATGATAATGTGAGTGCGTATAGAAATCCCGAGCCACCTCCACAACGCATCGTTTTTTGAGCAGAAAAACGTTTCACTTTTTGATTCACCAATTTGTTTGAACACTCCCTTCTGTTCCTTGAACCCAGGATGGCCTATCTATCTCCGAACTCATTTGATTCCTTCTTCCAGGCCCTGCCGATGGTGACGGTGATTGTCGGCAAGAAGAACTACACTGCCTCGTCGTGCGATGTCCTGACCTGTTACGATGGGGTCCACGAGGAAAAACGTGCCCAGTTCGATAGCACCAACATTGCCAAAGGTGCTCCAAAGTAAGTCACTGTATGATGATGATGATGCTAGACAACCACCAGAGAATAGTGATTAATTTTAAGCCCTACCAACATTATCTTCAAAAGCCACCAGAACGAAACAGTGCTGCTACTACTGCTGCTCATTGGATGCATCCAGACGCTGCAAATACAAATTTGACACTGGTGCACGAAATTTTTTATTTGGCGATTTGTGTTGGATTTTATTAGTTTAAATATGTTTATTCATTAATTCTTCTATTGAGTTCTTTTGAGACAATAATCTCTGTAACGTTTTCAGCTTCAATTGATAGTCTGCACAGAATGTAGATTTTTCTCCACTCCATTGTCCACTTTCATTGGATGTTAAGCAATTCAATGTATTCCTCAACTGCAAAAACCAACGAGTGCGAGTTCTTCCCCGAGGTTGACGATCTCGTCCGGGATCCACCCGAGATGGTAGTCTTAAATCATAGCCATATCCCGGAACCTTTCGGGACAAGCTCGAGTTAGGCTATTGTGGTCCTTGGCACTAATTATGACTAGTAATCGACTTTATTTTTCATTATTTGATTTGACAACAAATAATGGATTTTTGGATGGTCAAGGATGTAGTCAAACATCTCCAAAAATGTGTTTTGTGAATCTTGTACTTGATTTTATAAGCTCGTGTTATGTTCAGAAGGTCTCGAGTAAATATATCTCATTAACGCACGCTATGTCTGAAGGTACTATTTTTGCAACATTCATGTACCTCAGATTTTTCTTCACAGGATGTTAGTGTTGATCCTAACAATCAAATCTGAGATGGTTTTAAAATATTTCATCTAGGGTTTTTTGAGAAAACGTGTTTTGAAGTTTACAGAGTCGACTATGAAGACGCATATGGATTATGTACCACACAAAACTTTTATGAATTTAAAAAAAAAAAACAGTTAAATAAGGTTCATAAATTGATTGAATTAATCTAAATGGCATTAAAGAAGTTCTCTTTATAAGTAAGATCCATATTGATTATGACGACTTTGCGCAAAATCATTTTATATTTTTTGGTAACACAATATCTTATTTAATTTCTCTTTCCTCATGAGAGTAAAAGAAAAAAGAAACGAGCAGGACAGTCCGTGACAGCCACGTAATCATAGTAGGCATTGGTTTTCGTCCTGTTTCGTGTGTTTTTTTTTTATAGATGTATCGTGTAGAAAATCTGGAATAGCTAAGAAACCTCATGAAGAAAATTGATAGTTCGCTTGATGTGCTTCGAAAAAGCGACTCTGTAAAAAAATCATAACAGACGTCGCCATTGTCGTCGTGGAAAGATTTTTACCGGAGTTCAATGAAGGATATGTCAGGTATCTGGAAGTTTTCTGTCCGGTACTCAGCAAGTGGTGAAGGTAGCACTTGTCATTGTCACCAACACATCCTGAGGAGTGTAAAATTTTCTTGGATTTTTAAAAATAAATAGAGATGTTTAACTCAACGGTGAGATCGAAAATAAATTCTGGCAACCATGACGAATTTGTTTGAAAATCGTTTATCCGATAATGACATAATACAGGAATGAAACTCACATGAGATTAGCTACTCTTGCCCAGTGAGTTTAGGTAGCTCTTTTCCTTGAGTTACTACAGAATTGCTAGAGCTTCATTGCAGTTCCCATATTTTGTCCAAGGAAACTTTCAGGAAGGTTCAGTGACTTTCTAGTAAATTCTGCTTGGGATCTGTTATGAATATAAGGAAAGTTCTGCAGACTTTATACAAGTTCTTCCAAAGAAGCAACGAAATTCAACAACTTTCAGAGAAGTTCATTGAGCTTCAAGGAAGCTCTACAAACTTCAGGAAAATTCTTTAATCTTGAAAGATGTGCTTCGACCTTCAGAGGAAAAGTTCTATAAACTTCAAGAAAATTATGCGAACTTCAGGAACGTCTTGTGAGCTTCGGGGGAGTTCAATGTCCTCCTGGTAAGATAAACAAACTTTAAGAGAGTTCTGTGAACTATAGCAACATTATATGAATTTCAATAATGCTCTGCAAAAAGTTCTTTAAGCGTGAGGAAAATTTTGCAAACTTTTGGATGGTCTGTGAACAACAGGGAAAATTTTATAACATTAGGAAAGTACTGTGAACTTTAAGAAATACCTGAGAATTTCAAGAAAAAAATGCCAACTCAGAGACGTTCAAAGAACTTCAGGAACGTTTAAAGAATTTCATCGAAGTTCAACGAAATTAAGGAAAAACTTATGAACAGGGCATTGAACTTGAATGTTACTTCCATAAGCTGTCTCATCGGGACGTTGGTGAAACAACTCTCACTCCATGTCTTTGAAACCAGGTACAATAGAGAGAATTTCGTGCTATACCTATTTCTCATTTACGCTTTCCTTGTGAAATGTGATCAAGGGCATGAGCAAAACAATCAATGTTTTTCAATTTTTTTAATACCATTAAATGTTTTCTTACAGTTGTTTCTTTTTACCTTTCATTTAATATTTCGATCTTTGAAATCGAATTAGTGGTTCAAAAGTTATAATTTTTTGAAAAACGTCATTTTTGAAAATAAAATCGATTGTTTGGACCACCCTTACGTTGAAATGTTCACCTTTATGACAAAATAATTTAAAATTGTGATAAGAAACATAACTACAATTTTTTACCATATTCTGAGAACCACAATATCGTGTTGCTATGGAATGGCGGAATAATAGTAAATTTAGGGACTAAACAATTGTTTAATTTATTATTTATTATTAAATTTAAACATTATGAGATCCTGACAGAGCTACGATATCTGACGGTATCTTACTGTTTCATTGAAACTTAATATTTTGACTACTTTAATCCCCTTTTGAATCATTTTCATATTTCGATTCGTAACAGTTTTGTATCGTCAATAGTCCATATACGCCCTCATAAACGGCTAGGTATACTTCAAAATACTTTTTCTCAAAAACCCAAGATGAACTATTTTAAAACCTTCACAGATTTGATTATTAGGATCAATACTAACTTCCTGGGAAGATAAAACTGAAGTACATGAAAGTTGCAAAAAAGTGCCTTCAGACATAGCGTGTAACGTTTGTTGCTGAACATTATTATAATGGGCTGTTACCTACTTCGACTATTTTTAAGTGATTTTAGACCACCCTCGAAGTATATAATCATCCATATTTTTTTTGTAAATCTGTCACATAACTAATTTTACACGTGACGGAATCCGTCTTTGACATAAAAGATGTCATGTCATGTAATATTAGGTGCTCTAAGACTAAAAAGTTCGTTGTTCGACGAAAAGTACGTTTGATTGAGCTAGGGGAATTTACGTATTCTCGGCAACCTAAGCAGCGACCTTCTTTCTATAGCCTTTTTCTCTATGGAACGCACACATATGCAGTATTGGTTTGTTTACAATCTTTTGCTGCCAGCTGCTCTAACAATTTCAGTCGAAAGAATTGTCAAAAACTGTTTTGAAACGCTTTTACAAAGCTCCAATCTTCTCTACTGAGAGCGAGTATTGTCGGCAACCAGTTTTTCTTCGGCAACCGTTCCATTTGAACTGCATGTAAATCTGCTGTTCTATTATCGGCAACTCGAAATCAGCTACAATTTGTAGAGCGTGTGTTTCATTTCAAGAAAACCCTGCTAGATTGCTTTTTCTCAGTGGTAAAAATATAGTCAAATTGAAGCTGAAAGCATAAAGAATCGTTTGCATGCATTCAGCGAAGTGTTTTCGTAAGAAAATCCAGTGAAAAAAGTGTTTCAATTTGGGTTGCCGAAAATAGTCTGTCATGCCGAAGCCGTCATTTCCCCTATATTTCGCGTCTGTTATGACTCAAATTTATGTCAAAATTGACACTCGTGTATGTCACTCTCAGAGCACCTATATTGACATGATTTTTTTTTTTCTAAGTGTGTATTCTTCAATGCAAGCGGTGTAAGTATTTACTTTATTTGACATATCTCAGGTACCCAAGTAACATTGCAAGTTTTATCGAGGTCTTAAAGCATGCTATAAGTCTAAATTACGGTCTTCAGAACCCTTATAAAACCAACATTGTTACTTGGGTAATCATGATCATATTCAGTGCTGTTGTCATAAAATTTGAGCCAAGCACCGTTCTGATTCATATTTTAGGCAACAGTGTTTCAAACAACAGCCTTAAAATTAATGGTAATAAATTATATTTAAGAACCCTGCTATTGAACTAACTACGATGATATTTAAGTGACAAAATCAAATCTTTTCGAGAAGAAGTGTTATTTAACTAAAGCTGCAAAGATTAAAATTTCGTATACTTTGTGGATATTACATTACGTTACAAGTATTTCAAGATATAATTTTACACTGTACGAAAGATGAACGTGTCCGAAATATGAATCATATATACAAGAGCTTTGAGTGGATTTATTGGCAACACTACGAATCAATTGAAAGTTTCAAATCCTATTCTACCTAGGATCAAAGGTTTACCAAAGATTCACAAGCCAGGAAACGAAATGATGGAGATAATCTCGGCTGAAGGATCCCCCACTCATAAGCTTGCCAAATGGCTAGTAAAGGAATTTCAAAATATGCCTAAACCCTTTTCCACTCGCTCAGTTAACAGCACACAGGAATTCGCAAGTCAGCTTCAGGCATCAGGAGAGATTCGGGGAGATGAAGTCATGGTTTCATTTGATGTCACAGCACTTTTTCCGAGTGTACCAGTAAAGGAAGCCATCAGCCTTTTAGAGGACTGGCTCCTATGGGCAATCCGCTTTCTCCATTTTTATGTGAATTGTTCTTGGCTAACCTAGAAAATACTCTGGAGGATAGGAATTTGTTTCCCAAATGTTGGTATAGGTACGTGGATGACATTTTTAGCATTGTCAAAAGTGAAGATTTATCAAACATTTTGGAGGCCATAAGCAACGTTCCAAGGACATCAAATTTACTCACGAAGAAGAGAGAGAGACGGCAAACTCCCCTTCTTAGATCTTCTCATCATCAGGGAAACGTCTTCGCTCAATTTCGAAATATATA